GGCCTTAAAGCACATAAAAGCGTAGCATTTGGAAACGGTGACCTAGATTTGTTGAAAAGACGCCATCTTGCAGTTCGTTTGCATTGATTCATAGAAACAATATTCATTATCATATAAAATGACTAAATCTATAGACCAGTACAGATCATTATAAGAAACATATATATATAGTAGGTTAAATTTACACGATCACAAAGCTTGGGAACACCTGAAACGTGAAGACGTCTTAAGTATCTCTCACACGGTAGCTTCAAATAAAAGGTTACAGTATGTTATAGTAAATTTCCACTTTCAGAACTTATGATTCAAAGGGCAGATTAAGTAGAGTTCACATGTTTCTTGACCTCGGCATATGCCCAGCCGCCTTTGCTTTCCCTAACCTGAGTTGGATATTCTTCAGAGCTGGGTGTACTCTTGGACGTTCTACGTCCAGACCCAGATTGGAACTCGAGACCTTCATCTAGCAGTCGAGCGCTCTACCACTCAGCTATGCCGTACCTTAAAAACTACATTAGCAAACTAATAAAATTGTTTGCAAAAACTTTTCTAGACAAGAAAGTTAACTTTAATTAACCTTCATTGTTTGTTCACAATTATCTTTTAACCGTACGTCTTTTATTCATATCACTTTTAAGCCAGCAACCATACTTTGATATTTAAGGTTAAGATAGGGATAGTGTTAGCTATTAGGACGAACATAGAATTGGTTTTGTTATCGGCAGTTTTATGTCTCAAAAAGGGCATATTTCGCTCTGTCAATCAGCTTATCTTCACATTATTTAAAACCGTTAATAATAATAATAATAATAATAATAATAATAATAATAATAATAATTCAGCATTTGGGGAATAAAATACACAAATACACTGAAAAGTTTACATCATATAAAATTATTTTATACAATAAAAAGAAAAATATTCAAATATATATAGGCCTAAATATAAACTTTTTTTTTACATAGATGTATTGTTTATGGCGGCAAAGTGTCTACTGCGACAGATTGGAGCTGTGTCCCCGCCCACCGATCAACATGACCACGCCCCCAATCATGGCTAGACCCAGCGCCACAACAGCCAGACCATATGAGTAGTCGAGCCCGTCGATTCCATTTGGCTTTTCGTACTGGTACTTGTCGCCAAAGATGGCCACAGCAATAATCCAGGAGATGGCTGCGAAAGGGATACATACAATAAAGAGTTTTAAAAGAGTTAATCTTTTCTCCTAATTTAAAAAACAAAATGTGTTAATTGCCTTTGTGGACTCAATTTTATAATTAAACAACTTAATTTCAAGATGAGTAGGCCTATAACATGGGGCTTTGTAAAGCACAACCGTTTAAAAAAATATATATAGTTTCTGTCCAAAGTATGTCTGTACCGGATATCTACCTCTAGCCCCATGTCGATATCTGAGTAATGATTTATAGAATTTATAATTTATGACTTCAGATTTTTAAGTAATATTACAAAAACCTAACGAAAAAAAACCAGTTATGATGTCGAATCTATGGACTGTTTTTTTTTTTAGTAACATTTTGATTAAAACTTAAAGCAAAAAAAAAAAAGTTTTGACTTCAAGTTTTTAACTAACAGTAACATTATAAAAACTTAACGAAGAAAAACAGTTATGACAACGAATCCACAGGCTGTTTTTTAAGTAACATTTTCATTAAAACTTTAAAAAAAAATAATTTAAAAAAAAACGGTTTTGACTTCAAATTTTTGAGTAACACCATAAAAACCGAACGAAAAAAAAAGTTAGGACGCCAAATCTATGGACTGTTACTTATTAAAACTTAACGAAACAAAAACAACAACAACTGGTTTATGACTACACATGTGCTGGCTACCGCCCCAACACCGCCTAGAGCTTGTGTTTAAGTCGGTGTCTCCAAACAAATCTATGGACTGTTATTTATTAAACTAAACGAAAAACAAAACAACAACCGGTTATGACTACACATGTGTTGGCTACCGCCCCTTGCCCGCCTAGAGCTTGTGTTTAGGTCGGTGTCTCCAAAACAAATCTATCTCTACCTACAGCTGGAGATGGCATCTTCAGGTGTGATTCATTCACCTGTATGGGGCTAAGGTGCGCCTAAGATATGGATCATTTTATGTTGACAGGGTTGGGAATATATTATAAGCTCGAATAAACTGGGAAGGGGGGGGGGCTTCATCATTGCCAGTCTATTGAAAAACGTTGACCGAAAAATTATAAAATGCAACCGTATGCTTTAAATAGAGCCATATTGATGGATTATATATTGTAAAAGCAGTGAAGTCATATTGTATTATGTCTTATTAAAAAAATTTTTTTTTTCGTTAGGACTTAAAGCGCCCTAAGTCTGTAAATTCCATATTGTGCTAGAACAGGTTATAAGGCATTATTGTAAAACCCAGACTGTAGATCCCTATTATTATGTAAAGCCCTATTGTGGAAACCCTATTATTTAATGTCCTATTTATAAATCCTATCATCTAAATTCTATGCACACCCATATTTGTAAAAGCATATTCCCTTTGTCAAAAGCTACCCCGTAATGTTCCACCCCTTAAAGACCTACTCCTTAAAGCCCTAGTCCATAAAACTCTACAGCCCTAAAACCACACTTCCCTAAAACCATACTACCTAAACCCCTATTTTCTAAAACCCTACTCCCTAAAGCCCTATTCTCTGAAGCCATTTTAACTAAAGCTCTACTTCCTAAAACTCTACTCCCTAAAACCCTATTCCCTAAAACTCTACTCCCTAAAACTCTACTCCCTAAAACCCTACCCCCTAAAACCCTACTCCCTAAAGCCCTACTCCCTAAAGCCCTACAACCCTACTCCCTACAACCCTACTCCCTAAAACCCTACTTCTAAAGCCATATTCTCTGAAGCCAAACTCCCTAAACTCTACTTTCTAAAACCCTACTCCCTACAACCCTACTCCCTAAAATCCCTCTATACACCGGGCTTAACCCCCCCCCCTGTACTGACCAGAGAAAATCAGCGAGCAGCCTGCAGCGACGCCCGTCTCAGTGTTGGCTCTACAACTGCCGTAGAACATGAACAAGTTGATCAGCAGGAACCCCACGTTTAGGAACACGAAGCCGAAAATGGCGAATGCTTGAATCGCATTAAATTTATCTGGAATAAAAATAAATAAATAAAATCAAATCAAGATGTGTAATAGACCTAAGTGGTGTTTGCTCGGATACATAAACATTTTTAAAAAGTGAAATGGGCAAGGGTTGAAGTAGTTTGAAAAAGGTGCGTCACCAATATGGTTGGGCGGCTACATAAACTCTTCTTTGTGTTCCATGTTCGCGGAAACAAGTTGCGAAGTCAACAGTCTTTTTTTCGACTATAACTCCCATTTTCAGATACACTTGGTCTAACGGACTTCAAGTCTGGGAATCGAACTCGTGACTTTTGGGTTAGTATTCGTGCGCTGTACCGCTCGACCACGCCATCCATACATCTATGATGGGTACCTAATTTAACTCGGGGCAAGTTATAACCAATGTTCCCACTAAGCTGCGCGGTTGCGGGACCGCGCAGTAGTTTTTCACTTCCGCGCAGTCATTGAGTAAAATACAAATATCCTTGTATAAGACTTTTAGAACACCGCGCAGACAAAATAGACTTTGTACATTAGCTTTTCCCCTTAGAGGGAACGTTGGTTATAACGGTTGGGAATTGTGTAGGTGTAGAGGTCAGGGAAACATGTGAACACTACTTCATTGTGACCCAGATGATGGAGTCGAGTTCATCCAGGGCCCCTGTCATTAGGTCTTAGGTCTTGCAGTATGGACAAGGTACTGACCACACAGTTCTCTCCTGAAATTTTTCTGTTTGTGGAGGCAGATGACCCCAGCTAGTCATATTAAAAATTGTTAGACCGAAACAGACAAATCACAAAAATAGACCACAACAACAGGCCACAATAGACAGACCACAACAACAGACCACAACAGACAGACCACAACAGACAGACCACAACAACAGACTACAACAGACAGACCACAACAGACAGACCACAATAGGTAGACCACAACAGACAGACCACAACAACAGACTACAACAGACAGACCACAACAGACAGACCACAATAGGTAGACCACAACAGACAGACCACAACAACAGACCACAACAGTCAGACCACAACAGACAGACCACAATAGGTAGACCACAACAAACAGACCACAACAGACAGACCACAACAACAGACCAAAACAAACAGACCACAACAGACAGACCATGCTACTATGACCTTCAACCCTTCACCTCCCTGAACTGAATGAGATGTTTACCGTCAGGTAAGCCCTCCATGTAGGAGCAAGCAAATCCCTGTAGTGGTGATGATATTGTAGAAATACACTTTCTCCATAGACCAGTGTATACACCACCCTGGACGAACCAACCCGTTGTGCAGAAAGCTATCCAGCTGTAATCAGAGGAGTGGACATATTTAGTTCTCTTATATATATATATATATATATATATATATATATATATATATATATATATATATATATATATATATATATATATATATATATATATATATATATATATATATAAAGAATAACAAACTTGTTGTATTCAACAAAGATAACATTCTTGTTTTATTTAACAAAGATAACATAATTGTTGTATTCATTAAAAGATTTTTAAAAATGTTGAACAAAGATAACAAACTTGCTGTATTCAACAACGATAACAAACTTTTTGTATTTTTTGTATCATAATTGCAGAATCTTTGTGTTCGTATTGGTGTTTGTGGTTGTGGTTGGGTTTGTTGTTAGGTTTTTGTTTTCTTTTGCTTTTTTGTTTGTTTTTTCTTTGTGTTTGTATTGGTGTTTTTCATTGTGGTTGGGTTTGTTGTTAGGTTTTTGTTTTCGTTTGTATTTGTAATTGTGTTAGCGTTATGTTTGCGTTTTGTTGTTTTGGTTGGTTGTGGTTTGGGTGGGCAATGCCGGGTTTATGATGATTACTAAACACACAGTTTTCGTCAAAGATGTCAGCTGTATTAAAGAAACCAGTTGAGGTTGTAGTATTCAACAATCCCCAAAAATCAGCCAAGAAACATCATCAAGAAAAACAGCTGTTGCAGAAAATTACTGAAGGAAATCCACAGCCCTTAATTTATAACCAGAAAAAGGCAAAATATGATATAAGGAAACTGGGAATAAGTGGGATGGACAAACAAACTAAACACAGTGCAATGGTTGATCTGCTTGTAGAATTAGGAGCCAAGCCTCGAAAAAACCGCTGCTATCACATCAAAGAATATACTAAAATGATCAAGGAGAAGAAGAAAGAAGAAGCGAGCAAAGGTTTACCTGAGAACAATAAAAAGGGCAGAAGTAAAAGAAAACGAGATAAAGATGATATACTGAAGGATCTTGATGGTCAAACAGGATTTTTCAAAGGTGGAGTTCAGTTTGTAAAACGTTTTAAATCCTGACAATTTTTTTTCAATTAAAATTAAATGAACTATAATGTTTAATAAAGATGTGAAACAAAAAAAAAAAAAAAAAAAAAAAAAAAAAAAAAAAAAAAGAATCTGAAGTTCATCTTGGCCTAAGGAATGGCCTAGAAATGATTTCCCCGGTGTTCATTATAAAACGTCAGTGTTACTTTATTTTTTAGCTATTTGTTGTTGTTGTTAAACAGCGATTTAAAAAATTGAGTCCAGTGTTACCTAATGACCAAAAAGTCCTGTTATCTAATGACCAACAGGACAGACGAAAGTCCTGTTATCTAATGACCAACATGACATACGAAAGTCCTCCATAAAATAACCGTTCATAAGTTTTACAACTCATGTCTATAAATGAGGTTATTTCCCTTGTCAGCCGTCAAAACTGTATTCAGCAAGTTTGTTTACATTCTCACCGCACTTTTACGCTTCTCTGTAAAACAGGGACACCACTCTCTACTATTTGATACGAAAAGGGTACTTTTCTATTTTTGAACAGTAATATTATTTTCTTAACCAATTCGCTCTCTAGGTGGAAGAATAATGCTTTACTATATAAGTGGGAATATAATACGTTTCTGTATAGGTGGGAATATAACACTTAACTCTAAATATGGGATTATAATATTTTACTCTATAGATCTATCTGGGGTTGTAAAATTTTAATCTTTAGGTGGGAAAATAAAAATGTACTCTATAATAATTTATTTTATAGGTGGGGAAATAATACTTTACACTATAGGTGGGAAAATAATACTTTATCCGTGAAAAATAATAAAATATTATCTAGTTAAGAAAATTTAACCAATAAATAGGAAAATGATACTTTATTCTGTTTGGGTAAAGATTTTTACTCTATAGGTAGGGAAATAATACTTTACTCTATAAGGTAGGGAAAATAATATTTTACTCTATAGGTGGGAAATAATTTTATAGGTGGGCAGATAATACTTGACCTACTTGCAGAACTGGGCGACGAGAACGATAAAGAAAGCAATCTTGACCAAGATGCGCGCGTGCTTGAATCCATCGCTGATTCCCATGTTGCTATGGTGATCTGAGATAAACAAATACTTTGGTTAATTGAGTGCCGATTTTGGGGATGCTTGTATGTGTGTGTGTGTGTGTGTGTGTTGGGGGGGGGGGGGTTATAACCATGGGTGGGGACATGGCAAGTTTGGACAGTGGCTATGTATGGCGGGGGGGGGGGGACAAAATAAGTTTGGATGGGCAGTGGATATGTATTGATGAGGTCTAGAGACGTCATAAACATGGATGGCAGGGGCGGAACTACAGTGCCGCCAGACCCCGCAATGCGGGGGGGCCCACGCCATTTAGGGGCCCAGAGCCGACCATAATAAATTTTTTTATAGTTAAAAAAAAAAGTAAATTTTCTTTCATTTTTGACTTGATGGTTGTTTTGTAAAAAATTACCGTAGCTGCGGTTGGATTATCTTTATTCTATAGACACCACCCCACGCTCTTGTTTCATCTTTTTCCCTTTGTTTTTAAACAACTTTGAAAGCCGAGTATTTCTCCTACAATTAAACTTATCAAAGATAAGCAAATGTTCAAACCACTTCCATGACTTATTTCCCTTTTTAAAAAAATAGTCAAATAGGGGTAATCATAAGCTCCTTTTAATAGATTTGTACTAAACAAATTAAAAAGCAATTACTTCTCTTAATTATTATTGTTTTATAAGTAATTACTAAAGAATGATATTGTATAAAAGGGAAATGTATTGAAATGTATTAAATCAATAATATTTTAAACATTAAAAATATAATTACGAGAAAAAACATAAAAATAAACATAACACGAGACACCATTACTTATACAAAGCTTTCATATTTTATATTATTTTGACCGACAGGATGATAAAAGGGCCTCTATCAAAAGTTAATTAAAACTGATTTTCACAAAAACACGCTAATGCACTTACACACATGACATGATGTTGAAATTTTTTTTTAATGATGCTTTTCAAATCCCGAAAAGGACAGCAATGAGTATCCTATGTTCGTATTATGTGAATGCACACACACACACACACACATATATATATATATATATATATATATATATATATATATATATATATATATATATATATATATATATATATATATATATATATATATATATATATATATATATGGGGGGCCTAATAATTTTTTTTGCGGGGTGGCCCTTTTTTTCTAGTTCCGCCACTGATGGATGGGTTAAATACAAGTATGGGAGGGGATACAATATATCTGGGTGGGGTGCTATAGGCATATACATTCCCATTCTCAATGTCGGAATTAGATCATCTTGCATGCAAACCGATTGCAAGCCCACCAAAATAAGCCCTACCGTCTAAAAGACCGCACGCCCATATGGAAATCATATCTACGCTGGCGTCAACAAGTCACGGTCCGATGCTTCAGTACTTTTAAAAAATACAACCTCCATACACCACCCCTCCCCTCCACACTCAATAACAGAATGCAAATTACTCGACCTGTAAAAAACGAATCTATCAAAGTGTAAGCTAAGGAATTAAATGTTCATCAAAAGAGGGCTGTACGACACCATTCAAATAGCGTAGACACGTCTAAAAATACATCAATCACATTGTCAGGTGGAGACTCTCCCTGCAGTACACATTTGTAAGGCAGGACTCTCTCCCTGCAGTACACATTTGTCAGGAGAGACTCTCCCTGCAGTACACATTTGTCAGGCAGGACTCCCTCCCTGCAGTACACATTTGTCAGTCAGGAGAGACTCTCTCCCTGCAGTACACATTTGTCAGGCAGGACTCCCTCCCTGCAGTACACATTTGTCAGTCAGGAGAGACTCTCTCCCTGCAGTACACATTTGTCAGGCAGGACTCCCTCCCTGCAGTACACATTTGTCAGTCAGGAGAGACTCTCTCCCTGCAGTACACATTTGTAAGGCAGGACTCTCTCCCGGCAGTACACATTTGTCAGGCAGGTCTCTCTCCCTGGAGTACACATTTGTCAGACAGAAGAGACTCTCCCTGCAGTACACATTTGTCAGGCAGGACTCCCTCCCTGCAGTACACATTTGTCAGTCAGGAGAGACTCTCTCCCTGGAGTACACATTTGTAAGGCAGGACTCTCTCCCGGCAGTACACATTTGTCAGGCAGGTCTCTCTCCCTGGAGTACACATTTGTCAGACAGAAGAGACTCTCCCTGCAGTACACATTTGTCAGGTAGGACTCCCTCCCTGCAGTACACATTTGTCAGACAGAAGAGACTCTCCCTGCAGTACACATTTGTCAGGCAGGACTCCCTCCCTGCAGTACACATTTGTCAGTCAGGAGAGACTCTCTCCCTGGAGTACACATTTGTAAGGCAGGACTCTCTCCCGGCAGTACACATTTGTCAGGCAGGTCTCTCTCCCTGGAGTACACATTTGTCAGACAGAAGAGACTCTCCCTGCAGTACACATTTGTCAGGCAGGACTCCCTCCCTGCAGTACACATTTGTCAGTCAGGAGAGACTCTCTCCCTGCAGTACACATTTGTAAGGCAGGACTCCCTCCCTGCAGTACACATTTGTCAGTCAGGAGAGACTCTCTCCCTGGAGTACACATTTGTCAGGCAGGTCTCTCTCCCTGCAGTACACATTTGTCAGGCAGGGCTCTCTCCCTGCAGTACACATTTGTCAGACAGGAGAGACTCTCTCCCTGCTGCAGTACACATTAGTCAGGCGAACCTATACGCAACAGTGAGTTTTAAAAAAAATTGTGAAACCATTTGACAACTCGACTAGAAATAAACAGCGTCTTTTCTTCGCTCTGTAGAATTTCAGTGGAGTAAAAATTTCAAAAATGTTACGGGCCGCCGCCATTTTAGTTGAACGTGATCTTCCTCATGCAGCAGGTGTATATGTTTGTCACCCATATATATATATATATATATATATATATATATATATATATATATATATATATATATATATATATATATATATATATATATATATATATATATAAATATATAAATATAAACAGTGTAAGCTAAAACTAAAACGTTGATATGAACAGTGTAAGCAAAAATTCAAAAGTTGATACCAACACTAACAACAACTGCTATACACCTTGACATCGCCACTACCCAATGAAACATCATCTACCCTTGAAGTATATCGTCAACCCGACGCAACCTTCTTATGTCAACCTCGGGGTTGCGAGACGCTACTAGGGCGAGACTCCGTTTTATTTATTTACATCCATACAACACATTTTTACATCGGGTTGTTTAATTTTATTTTATAATAACTATACATGTCAGTTAAAAAAAAAAAACAAAAAAAAAAAAACAACATAGCATGAACTCTAAATAAATTTGTAAAAAATCTTTCGTCTTTAATGGCTAGTACTTTTAATGGATTTGTAGGACAAAAATAAATACTTTTTTTGCTACTTTCGCTTCAACACAAAGTTGTTGAAGGGTAAAAAATTACGTAAAATTGCTAATTTAAAAATTGTAGTACCTCATTGAAAAGAATTAAAAACGATATTGTAAACTACATTATTACGAAAAAAAAGTTACGTTTAAAATAATTTTTTTACCAATAGAGGTAATGAAGTGAAGTAGCACTAAGTTAACCTGAAGGTGCTAACAGAAGGTGTTTACAAAGGTAACACCCACCACCCCGTTCCGATAATTGGTTTTGGTAATCCGATTTTGGTTTGGTGTCACCCCATTCTCCTTATATAAAACTTTGTTTTGGCAGCAAATTTTTTGTCGTGGTGTCACCCCGTACTTCCCGCACCACCCCCCTTGTGACGCCACTGATCCAAACTACTAAACATAGGACCTGTCGTCCTGTAACGTACACATAAACCTTTCTTACCGCACAATGCACACGTTATCAGTGTTTTATCCATTGCATCTTTTCGAAGAGAGTCTACCGCCCCCCCCCCCCCCCCGAAAGAAATGGAATTTATATAGAAAAAATATACTTTTAACAGTGTCTGCCCCCGGAAAAATATCATCTTTTACAAAAATTCTAATTATGTCTTTATTTAGTCCTATAGC